AAATCCGGTCATTACATATTAAAACAATTACGATAAAATCCAGTCATTAAATTGGAAACATCAACAATCGACAGAGATACATAAAACAACAATTATCAAGCATTACTTAAATTTACAAGACTTAAAACCAAAAGTGAAAAAGAAAAAAAAAAAAACATCAAAGCCAAGGAATACCCATAAAGTTAAGGGATGACTTATTTCCAATGGGTTACTTTTAACACCAAAAGGATTACATGAACAACAAATGATTTTCATTGTGGAGGAGAATGTTATTAATAAGCAAGATGATTACATTTTAAGGTAGTCTCATATTGTACAAGTGGCAAGGTAATTTTTTAACTTTACTTTAAATAAATGAAAACTAGAAATTGCTTTAACTGATGTGGGAAGTTGATTCCCAGCTTTTATAGCTGTATAACAAAAAGTGCTTTTGACTAAACTAGTAGTAGTAGTATTGTAGGGCGCACCCTTGCATTGAAATTATTTTTCAACTTTGACATCTATGATCTTTGTGCAAATTCACAAATCAACCATGGTGACAACTAAGATGCCCTCCCTCAATTACAATTACTTTCTATCTTTCTGTTGCTTTCTGTGTGAATGGACACTTCTGTCTTGTTACATATAAATGTGGAGAGTGCTATGTTGTTATTATTAAGGTCTTTGCTTAGTTCTGTATGTACTTATATTTTTTTTCATTTAATTTATTTCCTTTCAATAGAACTACAAGTAATGTGAAGTAATGTTAAGAGAAGGTACAAATATTATCATGTAAGCATAGTAACAATGTGACATCATGCCTTCTTACATTAGAGTTTCTTTTAAAGGTTTATTATATTGTAATCTATTTAATTTTAGTATTGGTACTGACAGGTGACTGTGAATATTGAAGATTTATATTGTGTATGGGTAAAAGGATAGGGGTGTGCTTAGTTGGCCCTACGGAGCTTATGTTGTCTTGTATGAAACAAAATCAATTTCCATTTGCCAAAATACTGTATATTATAAAGGTTGAAATCATTACTAAGGTCATTTATCAGGTATTCATAAAACACAGAATATAGAATCCAAAACAGATTAACTAGGACTATGCGAGTGGCTATGGGGAGATTAGATTAGTATAGGAACCATTTCACAAGCCGGAAACTGCTGCATTGAGTTGGCTAAACTGACTCCATTGAAGGCTTATCTGGGCTCGGTTTCTAATGGCGTACGGGTATTCGTCTTTGTATTGGGATGAGTGCTGGTATTCTGAGCATGATCCATCAAACATCTTTGAATCACGTTTCATCTCTCAAGCAATAATTTGTAAATATTAGTTTGTTTATTATTATACTTTTTATTTTATGAGGGTCAAACCAACTGGGACTTCCAAGCCCTGTCTAGACTATCAAGTTTTATTTGAAAAAAACATGTGACATGCCTAAATATGGTCATGATGACATCACACCATGACCATATATAGGCACATCATGGCTATATATGGGCATACAACAGTTTTTGTCAAAGAAAATTTGATAATCTAGACAGAGCTTAAGACTCTGTGGTAGTGACATTCTTGTTTTTTTCATATAATCTTGTTCATTTCAACCAAGAATGCAGACGATGGTGGATCCAGGGGTGCATTAGGTAATGACTCCATCCTCTACTCTTTTGGCAAAGTTTGAAATCATGTAGATATGAGATTAAAATTTCTGAAACTCATGTAAAGAAATACCAATACTGTTTTCCCTTGGATCATAGATCTTGCTTTGGGAGTTCATGTGCCCCACTCCCAACAAAAATATCCTGGATTTTCTGCAAGTGTTTAGAAGGCCTGAATCAACTCATTTATGTAAGCCTGCAACTTAAACACTTACAGTACTGTAGGAACAGATGTTTCTTATGTGGCATCAGCACTCTGATAACAGCACTGGAAAATAGCAATAGTCTCAATAGCAGTTTTTATTAATGTGTTATACTTTCATATAAAATACACTTTAATACAAAATGTATTTGTTTTCAAAATTGTTTCAAAACATACAATAGAATATGAAAAATGAAAAAGGACTGTAACTGAATAAAATGTTAGTTGATGAGGATCATATTTTAAAGTTAAATTATTATCATAACTTTGGGACTGTTTTTAAAGATTAGCTGGAAAATTCAGACAATTATTAACTTTTAATAAATGTCTTCAAGGACTTGTAAATTCCTGTGAAAAAAACTTTCTTATGAGTAATTTTTGCAATTCATGATGTCAAGAAATCCATTTTTATAGAGCCATTCTGAGCTGGAACAACTTTCCAGTAACTACTATTCCAGAGTTTTAACTAAAATATTTAATAAAATTCTTTAACCTAATCTACTCCATTATGAGATCCAAGTGCAAAGGTCAAGCCTGGTCTAACCCCATGTAATCCTCAGGTAGTGACATTGACATCTTTGTGCATGGGGTCACATTTTTACAGAAGGAATGCTTTCAGACAAGGATTAAGCATATTGACATTTTAAAATTTGATAAACCACATAAGAAGGAAAGTCCGCAATCATAATCCTATTATATTGGATAATCTTATGCAACAAGTTTTCGCCAAAACCCAACAGATGCACTGATTATCTAAATAACATAGAAAGAAGGTAACCCTGAATAAGGAGAGGGATGCCATGGTTTAATGTTTTGACCTTTATTGGGTCATCTTCATTTCAGAGTTGCATTCATTCTATATTTCCTCCAGGAATGAACAAATTTTATAAACATTTGATTAACCACATAAGAAGGAAATCTGCAATCATAGTCCTATTTTATTGGATAATCTTATGCAATAAGTTTTCTCCAAAACCCAACAGATGCACCGATTATCTAAGTAACATAGAATAAAGTGAGGGAGGCCATGATTTGATGTTTTTACCTTTATTGGGTTATCTTCATTTTGGAGTTGCATTCATTCTATATTTCCTCCAGGAATGAACAAATTTTATAAACATTTGATTAACCACATAAGAAGGAAATCTGCAATCATAGTCCTATTTTATTGGATAATCTTATGAAATAAGTTTTCTCCAAAACCCAACAGATGCACCGATTATCTAAGTAACATAGAATAAAGAGAGGGAGGCCATGATTTGATGTTTTTACCTTTATTGGGTCATCTTCATTTCAGAGTTGCATTCGTTCTATATTTCCTCCAGGAATGAAAACATTTAATATTTTTAGGAGAGCCTTTTCTACTGATGGTTGCATCGTTTACGATCTTCTACGATCTTCGTTACAATTTTTATTTGATATAACGTTGAGGGAAAAGAAAAGTGTGTTCTACTTGCGTTGATCAGCAACACTTCACCATGCAGTAGGTCCTAATGCCCCTTCGAGTGACTTCTTCCAACTTTGGACCCCTGCCTATAGAATGATGGGGTCACACCCACAAATGGGTATGGTTATAAAACATACAAAACCAAGTAGAAAAAAGGCCCAATAAAAAAATTGTGTTCAATCTTTACACATATTTTTTTCAGAAGAGTATTGTATATGAATGAAGTAGCCTATCGCGAAAACTGCATTTGGCTTAATTGTCCGATGTCCTTGCTATTGAACCTAAACTTGTTTTGTGATTTAACCAATTTTCCATAATAACTTTTTGTCAATTCAACAAAGTTAGTTTTGGAGGTTTGTGGTTTGGAATTGTTTGACAGTTATTACTAATTACCTTTTCATTGATGTTTAAACCTTGGCTCGGTTTGAATCTGGGCCCAATTTATACCAGTACTCACTTACCATACTGCTTCCTTTAAACTTTTGCTGGGTTGAAAGATGTAATGTCACACAAAATATGTTATTAAAATTAAAATGCTTGTTTAAAAGAACAAAAGAAGTCACAAAGAGAAGAAATCTGTTTTCAAAGATTGTGAGTTTTACTATGAAAATGCATGAATTTGCTGCCAGAAATTTAATGATATAGGCCTATGCAACAGGGACTTATCCAGGTGGGGAGCCGTGGGAACCGCGACTCCCCCCCCCCCACTTTGTACACAGTGTTAACATTTTAAAGCTTATTCTTGAGCCAATACAAACTCTTTCCTGGGATCACTCAAAATGAATACTTCTAAACATGTAAATATGCATCAGTACACATTATACATAGGCCTAATAGAACACATAAACCTAAGCGTGATTTAAAAAAATCTTAAATCCATAAATCTCAGGCCAGGTCTTTTAAGACAGAAATGCGATACTGTGGTTCAATTTCGTTTTTATCCTTTTGCAAGTTTCTTTAAATTTTTGATTAATAATACTACTACTAATAGTAGTAATAATAATAATAATAATAACAATGATGATGATGATGACGACGATAGTAATAATTGATAATAATATTAATAGCAATAAAAAGTGAAGAAAATTGTGCTTACTGCAAAAAAAAGTTGTGATTTGTTGACCATAATGTTCTATTTTCTCTGTCATAATATAGTTAAAGCTTAGTAAGCTGTCCTGGATACCGGTGTTAAGTAGATTCCCGATAAAAGATAATGAGAAAATTGTTGGCAGCACTAAATAACGAGAGATATTCATAGAGGTCAGTTTATTTCAAAGCACTATAATTGTATGACCAGTTTGTACATGGCAAGAGATTGGAGGTGACAACCTAATGAAAGATGTTACTTCTTGTTGTTGTTTCAAAAGGCCGCTTTTCGGGCTTTAATTCATAAAGTTGATATCTTAAACCGGACTTTAATAAAAATAATAATAATGTTATATTTATATAGCGCATATTGCACATTGCCCCTATGCGCTTTACAAAGAAATAATACAGACCAACCGAGAAAATGCAAATAACAATAAAATAATAAAAATAAAATAAAATGAAAAACCTTGAAATTAGGTCAGACAGTTAAAAAATACCGTGCGTGGAGAATTTTTTATTTGGTCTAATTATTATGCTTCTGTTTTTGGATTAGATTTTGGTAATATTAGTTTAATCAACATAATTAACTAGCACGTGAAAATATGATAAAGATCATACCTTGTTGACCGAGAACAACAACTTTGGCTTCCAATAATTTCATAATTTCATTGTTTTTATGCACTGTGAAAGTTATCTGCCAAGGCACTTCTCGTACGAAAGAGCCTCTGGAAATCTCAGTAGTAGCAGCAGTTCCAGTTGTGAGGTACCAATGACCCTATGTGCGAGATACAAGGATTCTAACGCCACATAACAAGCTTAAGGTTTCTCACTCAGTATCACACAGTATATACTTAGTTTTCAATATAAATCTGAATAATTACTGCTTGCAGAAATACTGTACACATAAAAATAATAGCACATTGGATAGCCTAGGCATCACCACACTTGTCGCAGGCAGTTGATTAGGAATAGGAAGTACTTGTTACTGAGTTTACCTGTTAAACCTGCAGTATGGATATGACCACAAAGATAACTATGCAGTAATGATAGCAGATAACAATAGAGTATTACCTATTTTTATTGAGTTGATGATAATTTTGCTGATAAGTGTAGTTTTTTATAGAAAGATTGCAGCCACTTTCTTTGGTGACAGTTCATAGTTCGATGATGATACACTTCTCGTTTGTTTGGTAAACTTCAACGGTGGATCCAGAAATTCTAAATAAGCGGATGGTCTCTTATACGGGGGGGGGGGGGGGGGGGGGGGTCTAGGCTAGACTTCTTCAGCCCCACCATAACTATGGCACCTCTATTGGTGGGAAATGGCATTCTCCGGTTTAGATTTTAATGCAATTTTCGTTTTTCCCATGTTTTGAAAATGTTCACATATTTTCGGGAGCCCAAGTTGACCCCTTGAATTCAACACTGGCCTACTTTAATAGTAAAAAATGCAAACGATATCGGGCATCGCACTTGACCAGTTTGGCGAATCTGAGATTTCCAAATCCAAAATTACCGAAACCCAGTTTGCTGAATACCAAATATACCGACCCAAATATGAAAACCAAGTTGGCCGAAATCAAGTTTGCCAAATTTCGACCCACTATACTAAAACAGTTTGTCGAATGCCCAAATGAGGTGATTTTTTTTTCTACTTTAGTGTAAAAAACTCTAAGCAAATAAATCATGGGAAAAAGTAGGCCTAGTAAAAGATCAGTGGAACAAAAAAATAATAATGCGATCAACAGAAACGTGTGACAAAGTCGGAGGCATTTACAACTGAATTTACACCATATTATACTGTATTGCTCGTAAAGATATATCGTTATTTAAACGATTTGTGTCAACTGATTAAAATTCTGAGGCATTTACAACTGAATAGGTAATGGTAGAACAGTTGTTTGAATTTGCACCGTATTATACTGTATTGCCAGGGGCCAGGGACGTATCCAGTGGGTGGGGGGGAGCCGTGGGAGCCGCAGTGTTAAAATTTTAAAGCTTATTCTTGAGCCAATACAAATTCTTTCCTGGGATCACTCAAAATGAATACTTCTAAACATGTAAATATGCATCAGTACATGTTATACATGGGCCTAATAGAACACATAGGCCTAAGCGTGATTAAAAAAAATCTTAAATCCATAAATCTCAGGCCAGGTCTTTTAAGATAGAAATGCGATACTGTGGTTCGATTTCGTTTTTATCCTTTTGCAAGTTTCTTTAAATGTTTGTTTAATAATAATACTACTAATAGTAATAATAATAATAATAATAATAACAATGATGATGATGACGAAAGTAATAATTGATATTAATATTAATAACAATAAAAGTGAAGAAAATTGTGCTAAATGCGTTAAAAAGTTGTGATTTGTTGATCATAATATAGTATATATGTGGCAAAGACAGTCACTCGTCGCAAAAATCGATTTTGAGTTATTAATACAATGTTAGAGAGTAAAATAATATCTATAAAATGGTAAAAAAAATCATTGCGTTTAACCATACAGCTGTTTATAGAAAAATATAAAGAAATAGCCTTCAAAGTTTATGATTTCAGGCATTTCTTATTCAGAAACTATCTTTAAATCCTTAAAAAGTGTTGTTTTAACATTGAAAATGAGGGAAATAACAGCATAGAATAATGTGTAGATATATAAAGGTTAGTTTAGTGCAATAAAATAGATTTAAAAAAAAATTGACATTCCAGCATATTTTGGCCATTTTCTCTGAAACACGATTTGCGAAGAGTGACTGGTTTGGCTTGCCTTTGCCACATATAGTTAAAGCTTAGTAAGCTGTAATTAGGCCTAAGTTGTCCTGGATATTAAGTAGATCCCTGCTAAAAGATCATGAGAAATTTGTTGGTGTTTTATTTTGACTATAATGGTAATGTGATGATGGTGAATTTTACTGTATAAAAGTGTCATTTCCGGCCATCTCGGGAGGTACTATTTCCTCAAATTTTCTCACCTCAGCCCCAGCCATGGTGGGGCTGAGGTGGTTGTGAAATCACGTTTTTGAAGTAGCCCTATGTAAAGTACATACTCAAAGACAATGTTTTTAAGGTTTTTTTCTATGGTATATCACACACACATTAATAAGAGTAAGATCTCTATGGTTGTCAAAAATCCCTGATAAAAGCTCATGTTTGTTAAATAATACTACTACTAATAGTAATAATAATAACAATGATGATAATGATGATAGTAATAATTGATAATAATATTAATAGCAATAAAAAGTGAAGAAAATTGTGCTAAATGCGAAAAAAAGTTGTGATTTGTTGATCATACTAAAGTATATATAGTTAAAGCTTAGTAAGCTGTAATTAGGCCTAAGTTGTCCTGGATATTTTGACTATAATGGTGATGTTATGATGATGAATTTTACTATATAAAAGTGTCATTTCCGGCCATCTCGAGAGGTACTATTTCCTCAAATTTTCTCACCTCAGCCCCACCATGGTTGTGAAATCACGTCCAGTACATACTCAAAGACAATGTTTCTAAGCTTTGTTTTCTATGGTATATCACACACACATTAATAAGATCTCTATGGTTGCAAAAAATAAAAGATGAGAATTTTTTTTTTGGCGCTTCTTTTTGACTAATTTTGATGTGATGATGATGAATTTTACTAAATGTTTAATTTCTGGCCATCTAGAGGTACTATTTCCTCAAATTTTCTCACCTCAGCTCCAACCATGGTGGGGCTGAGGTGGGTGTCGACTCACAAAATGCCCTCCCCTCCACCTTTCAAAACAGATCTGTGCCCTTCCCTGGGTATGACCTGATGTATGTCTTAGTGACTACTGTTTGTTTTTAGGATGCTGTCTCTTATACACATCTAGATGTGTATAAGAGACAGATACTGTATGTACCCAGTGGCCACTACGACTACAGCCGGCTAGCTAGTACCATACTTATTGCTGCGAAGCAGCCAATTCATATTCTTGATAGCAATTTGACCTTTGAAAGGTCATTGTTTGTCAAAAAGCAAGGGCCTAAGACGACTGAAAAGCGGAGTTTCTGTCTTTCGTCTGTCTCTTATACACATCTAGATGTGTATAAGAGACAGAGATGATGTATTGGAGAAATGATTGAAACGGCGACTGTTGAAAATTTAAAACAATAGACGATGAGTAGAATTAACTATCATTGCATTTTAATCATCACAAGCACTAGATGACGTATTGGAGAAATGACTGAAATGGTGACTGTCAAGAATTCCACACTGTCCACTGCACAATAGGTGTTGATTTAAACAACGTAAATTTGCAAGCAATTTTGTTTTATTCATTCAACATTTACATTTGATGTATTTCAGAGATTCTGAATCTGTTACAATTAAAAGTAATTTTTTTTCCCGTTTGAGATATTTCAAAATGGAATTATTATGAGAGCTTATGCGTTAAGGAGATAGGACAAAGGAAAGAGCTTAAATTACAGTTTATACACAACAATAACCTCAGAATACTTTAGGAAAAGGAATTGATGTTTAATCT